TTTTAAAGACGAATAGACCATGCGAATATAATTTTTCGGGCAAATAATTAATGGAATTGGATCTAAACTCGTTAATTTGCCGCATAACTGTTTTTTTTTTATTCAGACCCCGACATTATTCTTCCACGACTCCGAGCGATCAATTTTGGTCCTTCATACGGACTGGTAACGCAAGCGCCATTTCTACCAACAACTGCACAGCCAGGTAATGCGCTATTCAATTAAATTATTAGACATCCGTTTAGTAGAAATTCATATCACTCGCTGCTATTGGTATATATTATGATACACGATGAATATATTTGGTGTTAAAATAGATCATAACGTGTTTTAAAACCTGTATCCATTCACGCATTTTGTTTGAATGGTGTGAATATTCAGATTGAGCTATTCGAAACTACATTTCCAATTTTTAACATCACATAAACTGTTTAAAAAATGATCTTGTCTGAACGTGTGCTCTAAATAACAACTTTAGATATCAAAGTTGCCTGTTTTATACATTTGATAAATGACACAACTAAACGAAACGTAAATCACATTGGTTTGCATCTCCAGAAACGTACGTTTCTGTGCAGAAAGGGCTCATAATTGTGCAAATGTCCAATCAAAGTGGTGTGAAAATTTGAATAGTTAGTCAGACGTGTCGTTCTTGGTATATTATCTTAACATTCATCTTGCCATTCATATTTATCATGGATAATATAGTTCTGTTTGTAATGACAATCGAATTCTCGTGCTTGGAAATTTGAAATGGATATATGACGTCATTATTGAATACTGATATTCTACGACTGGTTTAATTTTTCAACTACGTGCTCTCGCTTGCTTAGTTGTTGGAAACTCTGCATATGCAGTGACTAGCCAGTATTTTTTATTTCTTTTGAATATGTCGAGAAGACAAACTAACAACGTATTTTTTAAATCTTTCATGCAGCTGCAAATCCTACCTCTGATTACTGTGCGTCATGGGGACAAGATTCGTATCGTACTTTTGATGGCCACGTATATTCCTTCGATGGAGTGTGTACATATATCCTAGCTGCAGACTGTTTCAGTAATACCTTCCAGATTCTAGTCACCAACGACAGAGAATGTTCTCCTCCTTACTCGCAGTGCGATCGTTCCGTCACCGTTGTCTTAGGATCCGAACAGAAACTTGAACTTTACCGCGGAGACGATGCCGCAGCAGTGAAGCTAGATGGCATACGACTACATCTGCCAATTCATATCAATGGTTTCATAATAGAGGTAGTGTCCAATTTCATCCTCCTGAGAAGTAATCTTGGTTTTAAACTGATTTGGGATAGCCAGGAAAGCATTTATCTTGAACTCGTTAGTGGTGATCTACAGGGCAAAATGTGTGGTCTATGTGGAACGGCTAATGGTAACCAGTTGGATGATCTCACAACATCAGACGAAAGAATTTTAAATTTTGGCCAGGAACATGCCTTTGGTCTGTCTTGGAAGGCGCCGGATCGTAAGTTAATACTTGATAAAACCTTCTGAATAATTATGCAACTTTAACACGTAGTCTCTCTGGTTCGAACTAAAACGATCTGAAAGGATGTTCTTTATACATGGTGTAAACAATATTGCACTTGATCGCGTGTTTACATGTTGTCTAGTTATGACACCAGTTCGGGTAGAGTTCTTTAGGGCCCCTCGCCCATGACCATTATACTAACCTTGCCCACCATGCAGAGTGCCCCTCCCAAGTTCAATTGTATATTCTCTTCGGGATAGTTATTTGGAGGGGCATATTACATTGCATTGGGATATGTAGTGTTATAGTCCACGTTAGGGGTAAAACAATTGTTTTACTTGTATTAAAAATTCAACCTTAGCTGTTAGTATTTCTGAGTTGACCACTTCTTTTCGAAATATGTACATTTCTAATGCCGTTTTTGCAACAGGAACATGTCCTGATATCCCACCATCTGGCCCACGATGCACGCAAGTGTTCGTTTCATCAGAATACCAGTCTCAATATTCAGAATTTATTGAGCTCCAGAACTACGTCAGAGGTGTCTGTAATCTACTGCAAGGCAATCTCTTCAGCGATTGCCACCATGTACGTATATAAAGTCATTGTTACACATTTTAATCTTCTACCGTATTGCATTCGACAGTATTTTTAATTTGCAAAGAAACTCCATCTCTAGTGCATGGAACGATATAATGTATATTTACAGGGACACTCTTGCCTGTTCTTATGCGCCAGTTGTCTTCCATGCGTCGAAGCTTGTACTGCATGCAATGTACAGTTGTATCACTTTTCATCCTCTATATTCAACTTTTCATCGTAATACATGTAGCCTACAATTTTGAATCCACAAGCGATTACGTGTAAAGTATGGCATCATAGAATCCGTTGTGAAAACTTGAAATATAGTTTCCTCAAGTTTTCGTAAGAACGACTTTAGAACATAATGGCATACAGTATCAACGATGACAATGTTAATTTTTTCAACCAAAATACATTCATCGCTTCTAAGTACATTTCATACAATTTTTATCGATGAGTATCTTTATACAGAAACAGCGTCCGGATTACTTTCGGAAATTCCGTCGCGTTTCGGAAAGTTTTAATTTTCAAAACTTTTGAATATTTATTTGTGCTTTTAGGTTAGTGAGGAGGTTATAATAATTTTTCATTTCACTTTAACACTGTTTTTTTCACCCCTCAGACCCCTTTAAAAAGTCACTTCTGGCCATTATAATGGCCACTATTTTCTTAATGGCCAAAATATTGACCAGTGTTTTTTAAATGGTGGTTTTAATGACCCATGTTTGTTATACTGGTCAGAATAATTACAATTGCTGGATGGTGGAGTTGATGACATTTTTTTTTGATGGGCAGTATAATGGTCATTTTATTTGTCATTATATACATAACATGACCAGTATTTTTGTTCATGTCACTAATATAATGGTCCAGAAAAAAACCTACCTCGTGTGAGTCAATATACGTGTGGGAATTTATTTTTTCCAAGTTTCACTGGCGCTTGCAAGTACACTTAAATGAAATTTCGCGAATAATACCTCGATCCCCAGTGAAATTTTATAGTAACGCTGATGCCAGTGACTGCTGGTGGACTACATAACCTAAAGAGTATTTATATGGTGTTGAATCATAGGACGATTGCAGTACTGCAACTGGCACATCGAGGTATGAATTTGTAATTATTTTACAATGACTTCAATACAATATTAGATACTTTTGTTGTTCATGTAGCAGTCTTTTGGGGGCTTTCGTTTTTTGTTTTTCAAAAATTATATTAATTACAAAACACTGGCATTTGCTTTATGTACTATCATACCTATTTTTTTTTAAAAAAATAAATGCGAAAGTTTTTGTTCAGTCGTGGCTCACTGTGTAAGTACTGTTTAATTATCATTCATACTTGTCAAATAACAAGCTCAAGTAGGTGTTAATGAGGATTAGCTCCTATGTTTGTTAATACAAGAAAAGATAAACAAAGGTTATTTCCAACTCCTGAAATCTGCAAAAAACATCAACGTAAACACAGTCCCTCTATTTAGAGGGACTGTGACGTAAATTTGTTTCCATTCATGGCAATGTTTTTAAAATTATTAATATAATTTAACTGACTGCAAAATGTTTTTTTTTTTTAATTTTCAAAGATTATGTATATTGTTGTTTTTTTCTCTTTAGATAATACCAGCAATATTGGGAAGTCTAATTTAGTAACCATGTATGAAATATATATATTAGCCCATAACGTCAAATACCATACAGAATCCCTTTTTCCTGTAAACAAGTATAGATGATGTATGCCCAGTGTGCAACAGTTCATTTTCTTTACACACACAAAAAAACTCCCATACTCAAAATAACTTTTAATTTAGCATGGATTTAAACTAAATTTCAATTAAATCTAATATTCTTTGCCCATCTTTGAGCCTAATTTGATTTGAATGAGTTCTAGAGATCAATATAAAAGATGTGAACCTTAATGTATGCGCCTAAGGAAGGAATACACAGAAGACACTTATTAGTAGTATTCACACAGAGCTCTTTAGCAACGGCTAAGAGGTCCAATACCTTAGCTTGTGCTAGAAAAAATGTGCATGAACACAGGCTAATAAATACTAAGTACAGAGTAAATCTGGTCAGTCCAAAGCCCCTTAGCACAGGCAAAACAAAACATGCATAAGCGCTTAGCTCGGCTAAAAAAACAATTGTATTCAATGTTCATTTAGGAGATAAACTACTATATTCATAACTTTTTATTTCGGTTTGCCATTTCCTGCATGACAATCAACGTTAACACATATAGAGAGATTTATTCAAGAAAAAAATAAACTAATGATGAGACTCTGTGCTACTTCCTGTTATTCTGCAATTTGCACTTTCTGAATTTGCTTTGGTATTGTTTTATAACTGTAGAACTAACCTTCCTTGTTCCTCTAACCATGGAACCATGTTTATAGTTCCATGCACTAACTGAGCAATCAGTTAAGATTTTGCCTATTCTTAATAAGTTTGGGCGTTCCTTACCCCGTGCTAACCATCGTTTCCTTCTGTGCTTGAACTCAAACATACGAGATTAGCTTAAATCTTAGCCCGTACATTGTGTAGCATGAACACTACTGTTGAAAATCCAGGGGGCAAATGGGTGAAAATTAAACAAATTATAATGAAGGTGTAATATGCAGTCAGTAAAAGTCTTGGGCGTTTCTGGGTCAGCCAAATTGATCATGGATACTCTGGCTCAACTTGGACAAAAAAAAAATTAGTCTATATAACGGGAACAGGGGCATGCTACTGTGGGTATCCCTTTCAAAAAACCTTAGTTATAATCCTCTACCAAATTAACACCTTAGAGAAACTGATAATAAATCTAGGTCAACACCACTGTTGTATCCTTTCCTGTTTCATAAGCCAAGCATGGCTGCCAGGGTGTAGCTACACAAAATGAGACAATTTTGTGGTTGGAATATAATCAGAAAAATTAAATTTGATCAAAACTGAATGGTCAATTCTATTGATGCGAGTGAAACTAAAAATTAACAGCTTTTATCCCACTATGAAATCAGGAAAGGGAAACAAAAATGGTAAGTTTTCTCTGCAAGGAAACAAAACTGCCTAAAAGTAAACAATGACCTGTCAAAATTTGTGTAATTATAACAAGTGGATTTTTCATCATATTTAGAACAGATAGCTTAGTGCACTCGTTATACACTGACCAATGGGAATACTAGTAAACACTGTTTCAGATGTATAAATCTTCTAGGGAGGTTATAACCCACATTGCACATAGGAAACTGGATTTTCTTTTGTTACGGACAGAAGTTGCATGTCACTGTTTTCCAAGGTCTATGCTTAAATCATAAACATCTGAATAGCATTGCATCATTTTTCAAACTAAACTGTTTTTATACTTTTAATATCATTTTCTTGATTTTGAAAAAAATATAGAAACAATATTACACTTACCATAATTACTCTATTAGCAGCACATGCGCTTAAGTAAATTACAGGAATCTTCAATGGTCGAAATAAGTAATATTTCCATGATTTAGTATCCACAAATGTAATTTTAGAGCAATTTTAGGTATTGTATTGGATCATAATTAAAATACAATTATTTATTTTGTGAAAGTACCAGGGGATCGATGAAGTTGTACATTCATGGTGGCATTCCCATTGTGGAGGGACTCTATAATTTTGTATGTACACAGTATCCTATTTTGACAGACAAAATCATGCAGCTGCCTTGTTACATAACATTCTTTTGTCTCTTGTCTTGTAGGAAGTTAAATCCCCCTATTGTTCTCAGAAATTAGGTTCCCAAGTACAGCAATGTACTGTCCTAGTCTCTCAAGAGACGAACTGTGTGTATATATGGCACAACCCCTTAATACATTCTGTTAGTTAAACGATTTGATTTTATTCTGTTGTCTAGATGCACGTTTTCGATATTTATATGTTTTCAATCAGAATGTACCGGGTATCATTTTTTTGGAAGTATATCTGAGTTACAAAGGGAAGAAATTAACATATCACAAGATGTCATTTTATCGACATTGCTATTTGTGAGGATAGAAATATGCCAGCATACAGACACCCCAAACATGTTTCCAACATTTGTTACAAAGTGTAAAAATAACTGGTCATTGTATACTAATAGCAAACTGAATTATTTTTTGCAGATGACAATTTAAAAAAAGTAAATAACTATATATATGGGACGTGAGAAGTTGAAGAACCAGAATTTATGGACGATAAGGGAAGAAAAAAGTTTAACCAGTATTGATGGATGCAATGGTTTAGCATTTACATGTTTATCAGTTTTACGCTTGCACACATATTTTGAAAGTTCCAAGTGTGTATAGTCACTGTACATTGATTTTCCATATTATTGAAAAAATCCTGCAGAGATCAATAATAGGAAAAAATTTGACATGCCTAAATCTTAGAGAAAAAATATTTTACACTAGAAAAAGAATAGCACAATAACGATGAGGAGAAAAATATTTTGCACAGCCCCCTCCTTAAGCTAACCACCTCACAAAAAAACTTGATAAATATCTGGAGGAGTATGACATTGCAAACCTAAAATACTATTACCCACTAAAACAGTCTTTATGGCTGTGCACTACATCAAGATTTTTTAAAAACAAAACAAAACATGGCATAATTTTAATATTGCTTACATATACTTGTTTTGTCTAATGTTTTCATTAATTATTCAATTTCTGTACTTCATGTGTTTGTACACTGAGCTGAACAGATGATGTTTTGAAGCAATGTTTTAATCCCCTCCCTCCCCCATACGACTTTTTTTACTTTGCAAAGCTGTACCTCTCTGATCATTAGTTGTTTATGCATAGACGGTCTTTGGTTATAAATTATTTACTTTCCAGTCATTTTTGAAGCGTAAGTCTTTGTCATACTTTCGGCTGTGGTGACTTCCTGTCACTATGCTTTTGTTTCCCTTTGGTTAGCTAAACATATGAACGCTTGTTAAAAATCACACTTGGAAGTAAGAGTTTCCAATGGAATAGCAAGCAATCTAATCTATTCCTGAAATTGTTAATTATATATAGTGTTATCTGGAAAAGTAAAACTAAAGTTCTAGAAATGTGTTATTCAGTTCAAAAAATAAACTGGCTGCATGCAGAATCTTAGAAACAATTGCATGTACATGTAGGAATGGACGGATGTTGCAGAAGTTTGGGCCTGGACATTCCAGTCGCATTTTTAAAATTATTTTAAATAATGTACGTATTCTTAAACTGTTACATGAGAGGGGGCAGAGCACGAAATAATATTTTCCTTTTGGAAACTATACAAAGATGCGTGTTCCAGTTCAGTAATTCAATACCTTTGATGAGCCATTTTTAATAGCACACTAAGGGCTAGATTTGAATAGATTCCTAGTGAGATTGGTGCATTCTTAATTCAAAAAAACTTTTACTGCTAGTAAATTATACCACAGTCACTCTACTAGAACGGTTAGGAAGCGCTATTGTTAAAAGGTGTGAACGAGCAGCTTCTGAGAACCTACGCTGGTCTCAAAACTATGACGTAATTGTCATCGGAGGGCGCTATTTTTCTCCATTATTCATTGCGTTCAATGTTGCTCGAGACGCCCGTGAATTTTTGAAATTGTGCTTTATTTTTACATCAAACTACAATCTCAACTGAACTATGACTAGGAGTGATATTGTATTTTACAGATGGGCGTTCTTTTGCCATCTTGAAGATGCTTTACTCGAGAAAATCAGTGTTTTGTTGACAGACTCTTTCTCTCGATCTCTAACAGTCTTACGGTCCGTAAAATAAACCCCTCGCTCAGTTTAGAAACAATGTTATCGCTAAAAACATTGATGTCTGCAAACCTTTACAATATTCCTTTGTCCATTCTTGCTATTTTTGTGTGTTTTTATAGTCACTTTATGGCGAAACTTTGCACGTTTTCGGCGTCTATGGAGATGGTCGCCATGTTGCTTTATTGCATGGTTTTCAATGGAAGTAATCGGACGAAAGAGATTTTTGATTGTTGTTTTCATACCCCTCCATTCGCTTTATTTGACGACTGATACAAATCCCAAATCCTAGTAGAGTGACTGTGATTATACACATGTTTGGTATAATTTATTGTAAAACATTAATATTGTTGTGACAATAGTTTTATACAAAACAGTGAAAATTTCCCAAAATCTTTGTATGTGTTGCCAGTGATATGCTAGTTTCTATTATTTAAATATAGGGAGGTAATCCATTACAAAACATCACTGATCCACAGTAGTCTGGTTTCAAGCTACACCAAGTCACAGTCCTTAGAGAGACTTTGACCAAGTGCAGGCTAAGATTTAAAGGGGAACCGCTCAATCCCATGGATTGCACCAAAGAATCATGGGACACTATTGTTTGTTTACAATGTTAATCTATCTTTTGTTATCCATGATTATTTTAATCCAGAAAGTAAATTTGTTGTGAAATTAATCTTAACTGGAAGGTGCCCCTTTAAGCTAATCCCAAATGTTTGCATATACCCAATTGTGTTCACTCACAGGGGGGCCCAACAGTTATAGCACGGGCCACAGTGTTGAGGGTCTGTGCACTGGCTAAGAACACCCAAACTGGTTTCCCAAGGGAGGCAGCAATTATGAATAAACAAACAAACAAACAAACAAATAAACAGCAATGGTACAGTGACATAACTACGCTGGTAACCGAAATAAACCAACCACCATATAGTTTTCTCCTTAAATATTTTTTTCATTCTTTTTCCATGTTTCATTGATTTATAATGCTTATTTTTTTTAATTAATATCACCATTGTTTTCAATTGTTTTTTTAAACCATTGTGGTGCTTCCGATACGAGTTTGCTGATAGTTGATAAAATGGAATTTTTGTGACATTGATTGGTACACTCAGAAGCAAAACATCACATGTGCAAATTTACATTACACCCCAAACTGCATGCGCGCGCATGCGAAACTCCAAATCTTCGACTTCTGGAGAAGTCGTCTACTAGTATCCCACGAGTCATTACTCTGTACACGCTTCCACACTGATTGGGTCGCTTTAGTAGAGCATACAACAACTCCAATTTGGTTCGCGGTCTACGACATGCACTAATAAAACTCTGCATTCTGTAACGCCGTTTTATACTGTTCCTGTGCATCCAAATAAATCGGTCAGTCTTCGCTCGCGTTCGTAAACGGCGGCTTAACAAAGCTCACCGACTGATGGCCTGGCCCTCCTAATGCGTGGACGCAATTGGGTCTAGTCAAAATGCAAACATCAACCAGTACTTCATGTAGCATGAACACTATAATAATGTTTATTCAACCTTTGTATCGGCAGCATGAAACAGTAATACATATATTTAAATTACATTCATCATTTCTTTTCTATATTGTCCAGCATTATAATACCGTGAACAAACAAACATGCCATTCACTGCTAAGTCAGCTAGCTGCACACATGGAGCTCTATGCTAGACCCCCCCCCCCAATATAACTTACTGAACCACCCAACACTGTTTTGTACACATGCAGTAGTCGTGGAATATTTTCATATATTTTTTATATTGCATTAAACCATTCATAATAGAGAAAATAGCAAAATATAAAAATGAAGCAGAGCATCATGGGTATTTTTTAGTTGATTGTCTAAGCCACTTTAAAATCACCTTCCATCGACCCTTCCACATAAACTTCTACAGTTTATGAAAAGTTACTGGTTAAGTATTTCAATGTAAAATGTTATAGTTTGGGTGTATTTGAAGACTGAACTTTAGTTTTTTGTCATTGTTAAAATGGGAATTTTGTTTGTTTGAGCTTAACCCCACTCATAAAGACAGGCTCTTTTTTCGGATTAATAACTCGCAGTTTATGTGACTTTTGGAGTAACTCCGTGACTTTTTGGAGTAACCAGCTGTTTATGTGACTTTTTTTGGTGGAAAGTCAGTTGCTGAGTATTTTCGGGGTTGCACACTGTTCGAATGTTCAGTAGTGAATGTCTTGCTTGTTTGTTCAAGGTATTATAATGCTGGACATTGTACTACTTCCTGTTCTTATAAAGGCAGAGTCACATTGTCAGTCCATTTTTATCAAGAATAATGTCACAGAATGTGCTTGTATTGATTGTCAAGTTTAGTATAGTTATATTCATAACCATTCTTATTCATAATCATAATGGTTAAATTTTCAAATAGACATCAAGTACAATGGTATTTTGGGTGATTAGCCTGGGCTCATTTTTGCACAAACTTTGTTAGCACCCGTGATAAGGGTCTAGACCGTATTTTGAAAACAGGTCATCTTCTAGGTTTAATAACCTATTGCATTACACTATATATTATAAGTCAACAGTATCAAGTGCATGATCTGTTGTGATTTTAAAAGCAAATTAACCCAAAACTTCATAAATTTTCAAGATGTATAATTCCATATTTCAAATTTTTCAAAATCTTGTATTTTATGTTTATCTACAATTGTACTGGCTTAAAATTGAAGCAAACTGAAGCGAGGGAGGAAAAAGAGAGCTGTCAATCCCCATGTGCCATTACCGGGTATATCTGTGACATGAAAAAAAATGACCATTTTATTCATGTAATGAAAAATAAAATGATCATTATAATACCCATTAACAAAATAGATTGTCACCAACTCCATCATTAAATAAAAAAAAAAACTATTATTCTGACCAGTGTAAAAATAGTGGTCAATATTTTGACCATTAAAAAAATTCTGGTTGATATTCTGGCCATTAAAAAAAATAGTGGTCATTACAATGGCCAGAAGTGACTTTTTTAAAGGGGTCCGAGGGGTGAAAAAACAGAGTTAAAGTGAAATGAAAAAATATTATAACCTCCTCACTAACCTAAAAGTATGAACTAATATTCAAAAGTTGTGAAAATTAAAACTTTCCGAAACGCGACGGAATTTCCGAAAGTAATCCAGACGCTGTTACAGATTATATATGACTTGTCCACCGTAAGTCGTATTTTAAACTACTAAAGCGATTATTTTTACTTTTCTGGGAGTATCTATACTTGTTGCAAGTTTCCCAGTAATATAATGATGCACGCTGGTAATATTCACTAAGAATGAATTTAAATGAAATAATTTTCTTAAGTGTATATAAAACAAAATTTGAAGCAGTAAATTGATATACTAGTATATGACGTGCGTTTATATGCCTGTGGCGATTCAATAACGCCAACCATTTCTGATTTAAAGGTGGTTGATCCATTACCGTACATAACCGAATGCGAGAAGGATGTCTGCTCCTGTAAATTCACCAGTACTCGTTGCATGTGCAGCACATTTGCAGCCTACGCAAGAGAATGTACGATCCAAGGCATACCATTAGATTGGAGAGGACCTGATCTATGCGGTGGGTACATAATGTTTCGCTCTCAATTTTCTTTAGGATGTACACTGCATTTTGTATTTCTAAAATTAGTACAATTTCTAGTCGGTTGTACTTTTCACGGCACGTATAACTGAACTCAATTTGCAACACACGACGTGCAAGTTTGTGGCGCATTTAATCTTTGCTGTTGTATACGAGGAAATGGGAATATATCAGACTAACTTCATATGCTATTTCCCTTACAGAACTTGAATGTCCGGTTGGAATGGTGTACGATAGCTGTGGTAGTATATGCCCACGTACGTGTCGCTCATCCATGTATATTTGCGAGGACGACCAATGTTTGGAAGGATGCCACTGTCCGCCAGGAATGTTTCTCCACAGCGGGCGATGTCTTTCACCCACAGACTGTCCCTGCGATTATCACGGCATTGATTATCCAATCGGAACAGTAATACGTTATGATTGCAATGAATGGTACGTAATTGCATTCATTGTTGAACTCTTCATTCACTTATCCACTGCTTACAGTCCTAGGTTTGGTGCGCTTCGCTCTGGTTTTCTACACATTAAGTTATATCTTAAATTCAACTTTGAATATTTTTTTGAATATATAACATTTATACAAATCAAGCCCTCCCCGGTAGATGCAAAATGTATACCATATTAATATTAGAATACAATGCCAATAAGTATGCAACCATTGGATTTAAATCTCGCACAAAATGTATATATTGTCTACAATAATATCTCCATCTATAGTCGTTCGCTTCAGACCCCCCCCCCCTGTTTAACACGTAGTAGGTAACTTTAGTCCTTGGTAATTGTGTTTATTCCATGTAATCAGGTTTAAAAACTGCATTACCTGTCATTTAGGCTGGTAGATGTATACATCAACTTGCAAATGGTTGAACAGACTACGACTAACAAGTTACATTCATTGTTCTCATTTCAGTCAATGTTTTAATGGAAAGTGGGACAAATGTACAGACATAGTTTGCGAAGGTGAGTGTATTAATTCAATGCTATATATTGCCGTACGAGACATTATTCCTAGTACTATTGAAGCAATAGGTCATGTTATATTAGTAACACTATACAAAGCATCCATTCTCTTCCACGGATATTGTTCTATCACTTGTCTACAAGTTGTACATTTCTTCATGTTCTACCCTAGTAAAAGTGGAATGGAATTAATTTCATTAATTGTTCGGAATGATTGCTGGATTCAGTTCTGGTCTATCTGCTTGGTGCTGGTTGATAACTTGAAAGTTCGTTTTTTATAGGTACCTGCACGGTGTCGGGAGACCCACACTACCGTACGTTTGATGGTCGACCATACAACTTTCTGAGCCTTAGGGAATGTTCCTACACATTAGTTATGGACTGTTTTTCATTGGAAAAATATTATCGCATTATCATGGAAGAAAGCGCCCCCTGTGGACACACTCAGGATGCATTGGATTGTTCGAAGTCTGTTATGATAGAGTTGGATGGAGATGTAGTAAAATTGAAAAGAAACCAGGAAGTGGTTGTCAACGGAGTTGAACTTGTTCATACACCATACGCCCTCAACGGAATATATATAGAAAAATTGTCGTCAATGTATTTGAAGGTACGAACTAGTATTTGTCACGTAAGCACGATTTGGGGATATGGCTTAGCAGGTGAATTACGTAATTGTATATTGAGTGGCAGGTGATAAATGGGTATTCACTGAACTGAGCTTTAAAAATGCAGTATATTGGTGACCAATATTACGATTTATCATGAAATAAGATTTCATGCTACACACAACGAAATGCACGTGTTGAAGTTCTGATTGTTAAATAAAAACGCCGCGGCACATGCAGTTTTCATCGGCAGAAAAGTTAGTGTTCTGTCAAACACAGACAATAGTACAAAACGTGTTCGTTCATGTTGCATTTGATGGATTCAGTCTTCTGCTGCCACAGGATAGTTGGAAATAAATGTGTCAAAAGTTATTCATCTAAAATAGATTTTTGTTGGTGAACGTTTTTCGTTCGTGGGTCTGTTTTATGATTGTGTACCTTATTGAGCAGTTAACTTGTGCGATTTTTGTAGGTAACGCTGTCCAATGGTATTCGTATATTCTGGGATAATCATATGCGTGTCAGGATAAAGATTAGTACGGCTCATTATAATCAGACTTGTGGTTTATGTGGAACTTTCAACAATAACCAACTAGATGATTTTTACACGCCTGATGGTAAGATTCCAAAACGTGCTTTAACAGTCTCGTTAAATTAGACTGGGTATACTTGCACCTAGTCTTCATTAGTCGTGTTCTTGTCAAATTACACGAATGTGATATTGCAAGTTTTCATGGAATCTCCATTGGCTGCCATCTTTATTGCAAATTCATAGAATGATAAAAATGAACATGTTGCGACATATCAATATGCATTGCAATGATTTTGATTTTTAAAATTAATATAACTCCGATAAATATTGCGTTCTTGATTATATTGCAGGCGACATCGAATCAACTCCTGAAGCATTTGGTAATAAATTTAAGGTCGTTGAAAATTGTCCAGATGTTTCAATTGACGATACGATGACCCCTCACCCTTGTGACCTTTACTCTCAGAGAGCAGACGTGGCAAAAGATATATGTGGAAGGCTCAAATCAGACGATACATTTTCAGGTAAGTCTATGCTTGTTTTAGTTGATGCATTATATCCTGAACACCGCATTGGAATATTTACATGATGAAATTCTCCAATCGACGTACAGTGAGTGAATTGAATGAAATAGGCAGTCTATTCAAACTTGCGTTTTGTAAGACGTATTATAGTTTTCGACACCGGCAAAAGTGTAATATCGACTAGAAAACGTTGGTCTCTAAACAATATTGTACAATTCTAAGCCATTAACGAGGGCGTTGCCTTTCAGCTTGCCATGACCAAGTGAACCCGGAGCTCTACTACGAGAACTGCAGATACGACGTGTGTAGCTGTCAGTCAGATGACTGTCACTGTGATATATTTGCCGACTATGCATACGAATGTGCCAACAGAGGTAAAGTGCTAGATTGGAGATCTTCTGTTCACGAATGCAGTAAGTAGATAATAAAGTGACCTGAACTACATGAACTTGACATTCATGTCTGTTTTTTGTAAATCAATATTTTTCTCTCCCACGTAACTTTTCTGGCCAATCTGCTCGGCAGTCTCGTGCTACGAATGGGTTTTGTTATACTATCAAATATAACATTTTAAGGTTTTTCCAATGTCTATTAAAAAACAAGTCTCTCTATATTTATGAAACGATAACTAGCAAGATGATTTTGATTGTCCTGACAAGTCGTGTGGCGGTTCTATTATGAGCATGCACAGACGTCATCAATAACTTTTGCATGTGGCAAGTGTAAATGCCTGGAGTTTAACGTATATTGTGCTTTCCCATACAGGTGCACAGTGCGATTGGGGTCTTGTATACAGGGAATGTGGTCTATCGTGCGAGACATCGTGCAACTCCTTGGCAAATGCACAATCGTGTGACGATGAATGTGTACCTGGTTGCTCGTGCCCAGTTGGCATGCTGACCGATGTGTATGGCAAGTGTATTTCGATGTCAGAATGCCCATGTGAATATTCTGGAGTTAGTTACAAACCGAATGAAATAATACGCCAAGGTTGTGATTACTGGTAAGTATTTTCTATGTACATTGCTAATCGACACGTGATCACTAACGTGCATCGCGAGAAAAAATACTAACACTATAGAACATGATTCATTGTCCCTTCATTTAAAAAGTATTGTGTACAAGTCACAAACTTGTTTGGTCTAGAGTATCGAAAAAATTTGTAAATGTATTTCTAAATAAAATTTACATCATGTCGTGAATCTAAGTATATTTAGACATCCTTTATCACATTCTGGTCACTTAAATGAATTTTATTTTCCCATATTCCAAAATGATTTACAAAGAATTTGACATTTGAACGAAAAATAAGATTCGAGATGCATCCATCTTTATTGGTGTAACTTCTTTTTCCGTATTATGAAGTAGATTAATCTGAGATTAAATCAATCGTTCAACCATACTGGTGCAACATCAAATTCAATGTTATTGTATGTTTTTCATTTAGTCAATGCATAGCTGGTGAATGGTCCTGTATGGGCGAAGAATGCGACGGAAAGGCGTGCCCAGAACACCAGGTATACACAGAGTGTCTCTCGCAGTGTCCGATGACGTGTGGCAACATGCACGAACCCCGCGAATGCTCAGCAGTCGGATGTTTCCGTGGATGTCAGTGCGACATCATGACTGTCTGGAACGGATACGAATGCATTTTCCCCATCGATTGTCCCTGCCACCATGGTGGACGAAGCTATCAGTACGGGGAGACAATACAAGTAAAATGCAACAAATGGTTCGTCTAATATTCTTGTAGTTTGACTTATCTTAATATTTACATTTGTTCTATGTGGGTCACAATTCAAAGTTCGATCATTGTAATAGATATTACTGTCATTTTGGAGTTGAATATTCAAAACTTGTAGAAAATGGAAAATTTATATTGATATATCTGTCGTTTAATTTCAGTTTCTGTGATGGTAGAAGATGGCAATGTGAAACTCGGACTTGTCCAGGTAATTATCAATGTTAATGCGATTAACTTGTTAACTTAATTAACCTTCAGCAGGACATGCTGTGATGAATAAATATCCCGTTTTTATCTTTAATTCTAGATCAAATGTTTACTTTGGCGCTAAATTTAAAATGCCTCGACGTTAAGCCAAACATAGTTCCGAAAAGAATTCTTGCAAGAGTGAATCCCTTTTCATTCCCGTTCAATGCAGATTATCACTTAAGTGGTATCGCATACTGATCTTCAAATTTTCTATAATCAGCCATAAAATGTATAATATGCAGATTATTTTCACAATATTAACATTTACCAAATTTCGATCTAATTTTTAACTGTAGCGAAACGCCATAGCTATGAGGCGTTAAATCAAATTGCTATATAGCGGGTAAATTAACTAAAATTCTATTCACAATTCCAAACTATAAGTGTGTGGCACCAAGTCGCTACAATAATACCATTCAAGCTACACAATAAACTTGTTAAAACCAGTTATGCACATTGCACAATTCTCTCCTAAACTAATAAACACAATTAAAACGCAAAGTAATGTATCAAGTTTGTTGAAATTGATTAGTCTACTGTAATATAATTGTTGAAATATTATTCTGTGTCTTGATATGCTAGTAAATTTGACATTTAACAGCTGGCTCTTCGGTTATTGTGATTAACGGTATTTTATGTTATGTTTAGGTGCATGTGTAGCCTGGGGAGATCCTCATTACGTCACGTACGACGGAAAAATGTTCGATTTCCAAGGATCGTGCGAGTACGTGTTGACACGTAGCACTGCTTCTAATCCTTTCTTCTTCAGTATAATTGTGAATAACGTGCCTTGTGGAACCAGTAGTGTAACGTGCGTCAAAGAAATTTCTATCACTATAGGTACGTCTTATTGCAGATGAAAGTCTGTCTTGTATACTCTTTAAACTACCTATCACGTACTTGCGAGTATGGTGCAAATATTAACATAAACTTGAAAAAAGTTTATTACAGACGCGTTAAATTGATGAATAGGGGGATTTTGTATTTATGCATATCGCCAACTAATTAAAAACCATTTGAGGTGTTAGTAGTTGTATCAACTTCATTAACGGGTAGAGTATGTAGTTCTGCCTAGAACTAGTTATTTACAAGGTTAACAGTGCGTGCCTTTGTTTAAATATTATTTGCATAACTGAATTCAGCGTACACGTTGTCATTAAAGATGCAATATGCACGAGAACGTCGCATTTTTAATATAAATACATCGAACTACGATTTACCGTGACCTAAAAACGTTTTTTTTTTGTAGCACACGATTATTAGTTTAATGCAATTTTAAACCGCATCTACAGTGGCAGTTGGTACGTACAAGAAAAATCGCTGCACATGCGTATCAGTTTAGATTTATTTCATGTAATACTTTTCCTGTAAACGTAAGATTAGATGAAAACGGATTTGGACAACAGTATGGTGTACCACCTTTCTGTTCATGTTGCATCTTTGAATAAGAATGCCAATTGAAAACAATAATACGGATGCACACTCCAAATACCCTCCGACAAGTTTTTATTGGCCATTTTAACACTCCCATAGGTTAGTTGCAGGACGCTTCTTGCATGCACCGATAATGTCAAATTAACATCTTCTTAATTGTAGTCAAAGAACGTGCTGCCAGGCACCTACACCAACTATTGTTATCACGTGGTCGCGGCCCCGAAGTGATTGGATATGGGTCTGCTTTTGAAATCAGCGAGGTTGGACAATTTGTGTTTATTCATACGTCTATTGGTTTAACAATACAATGGGACAGAGGTACATCCGTACAAGTGAAACTAGAGCCCTTGCACAAAGGAAAGGCGAGTATAAAGCAAATCATTCATTTCATGGAATCTCTATCGTGACTAGTTCTTATCCTGGTTTAGAGCCGCAAAGTACACCGGTTTATATTATGGCACATAATGCAAAGCGAACAGTCTCCACTGTAATGATGGAATGTGTAGTTCGATCAATTATTCCGGAACCTGGTTACATCAACATTTGCGCCACTTTGTGGGACGTATGCTATATTCCATAGGATAGCTAAATACATTGGGTTTGTCGTGTCGATTATATTCGTAATAGATTTATTGCTATTTTCTGGGTGGAACAGTTTGGTCGCAAGCGGCCAAGCGATTTTTAAACTTACTGGTCATTGATGCTCTGGAAAGCAAGCGCATTAATAAATTTGAATGTTACCTCGTAGGTTGAGGGACTATGTGGAAACTTCAATGACAACCAGAATGACGATTTTCTACCACCGTCTGGAGGTTTTCCATTCGCCATGCCCGATCAGTTCGGCAACAGTTGGAAGGTAAGTTTATTTCCTGTTATATATTTTACCATACTGTGATATTTTTTTATCATTACAAATGCACTTTCTGTTAATAAACCCAGTGCCCGGTATCACGAATAAGCCAATCCCTACTAAAATGCACGGACGACTTTTGAGATGAAAAAAGAAATAGCCTGACAAGTAGTATCAAAACGGCCTTCTCGTTCTGCCAGGTACACTGTAAGGACTAGTATACAAGTATATAGTAAGTATACAAGTATATAGTAAGTACATGGTATAAGGTCAGGCCGTGCTCGTATTAAACGACACGTGTCTATCAAGGATCTATACTTGAAAAGTACATAAAGAGATCGTTGCATCCACCTTGCACCACGAAGTGTAGTGTTATTCATCAACGCCAACACGATGCGCACATTGTTTCAGTAACGGAATAATGAGTATTGTCATACAATTGTGTAATGCTATGATGTACCACTATTTTCTCTACAGATATTAAGCTATTGCCCAGATGCAGTGGTGATTCCAGATACTTGCTCCCTTCATCCTGCAAGAAAGTCATGGGCACGAAGGAAATGCAGTGTTATCAAGTCGGTTCTATTTAAATCGTGTCACAGCGAAGTGCCTTACCATCCTTATTTGACAATGTGTGAATACGACTCGTGTGGTTGCGACATGGGAGGTGATTGTAACTGCCTTTGTACGGCCATCGCAGCATATGCCCAAGAATGTAACAGTCACGGCGTGCATGTCAGGTGGCGGAACCAAGAGCTCTGTCGTAAGTCAGATATGGAACGGAAACTTGTTGCATGTTGCTGCTCTCAGACTTAAGTGTTGCTGACGCAGCTCCAGGTTATTAGAGTGTAGTATGTTATTTAAGTTTTAGTTTCGGTGACCGAAAATAATAAAATATATGAATCATAATCGAATGAATTTCTCTATCGATGTACATTTTCTCAAGTGTGGATTTTAGCAAAACTGAAGACTTAAAATAATCAATACGAGCCATTAAATTTTCTACAAATGTTCATATATGAATTTTATAAAACATAAAGATGTTAATATAAGATTCCCTCTCAACGTAACTGTACAACACTAAAATAAATCTAAATTTAAATTATTTTGCAGCTATACAGTGTGAAAACAGTTTGGTTTACAGCGAATGCATCTCAGTCTGCAACAAGACGTGTGCGAACCATCATAGAATTGGGGACGATTGGCAATGTACGGACACGTGTGTTGAAGGTTGTGCTTGCCCAGAAGATCTTCTCTGGGATGGCTATCGCTGTGTACCCGAATGCCCTGGGGGAGCCCCGACCCTCACTACCCCATTCAAGACAACGTTGCCGACTACCACGTTGCCGACTACCACGTTGCCGACCACCACCACGTTGCCGACCACCACCACGTTGCCGACCACCACCACGTTGCCGACCACCACCACGCCTTGTAGTTGTTGCGAATGGACAGAATGGATTGATGATGAGCATGGTGAAAAGGTGGATTTTACAGCTCCTGGAGAATTTGAATTAATTGCCGAACTCCAAAACGAATACGAGATTTGTGAAAGCCCTGATGACATTGAGTGTAGATTAGCAATTCCTCCCCATCTATCGTATGATGAAACAGAACAGTCTGTTAGCTGTAATGTTAACCAGGGGCTAGCTTGTTTTCATGGTGATCAAAACATGTTTCCACCACTGTGCTATGACTATGAGGTGAGACTTTATTGTTGTACTACACCTTGCATATGTGAAGAAACTACAGCAGCAGCA